TTCAATATTAAGGTAAACAAGAGTTCCCATACGAATTGAAGCGCAACCTCATATAAATCAGGAGGAATTGTAAATCCAGCTCCAGTCGTCCAGGGTCTACTCGAGAGAATAATGGGTTTGGTCGTGCTCACATTTAGGCTCAGTAAATGGACACCATAGTTATTGGATAAGACACAGCGGTACACGCGTCCCCGTGCGTAGGTCCAAACCGACTCCATCAGGGCAAATGGTTCGGTGAATGTTGTTGACTAGGAGATGTTGAAAAATATAACGTCGTCAATAAAGCTGGGAAAAAGACGCTCATACACATTATCACCGTGCATGATTAAAAGCGTGTTTTGACTTTTAGATCAGATAATCATCAGAAAATACGCAATGATCAAAGATATTTGAACCCTGGCAGTCATGTGCTGTAACTGTCAGTTTTAATAAATATGGAATCTGGCACTTCGACCCCCTTCAGGCCCAAGTGGCAGTTTTTTTAGAAAGCAACCTAATTATGCCTGGCGAATAATGCCTTACCCAGTTTAGTTTATTCATTGATTTCGATGTCAAAGTTAATCCGTACAAAGCTGAAGTAGGCAAGAACAGCAGGATTTATTGGTACCAAAAAACTTCGTGATTGCTCTTCAGCTGCTTCCTGTCGCTTCATAAGGGGGATAACGAGTGAGAACAATACAACAGATTTGAATTTGTGCAGCAAATCGATGCAGAAACAGCAAGGTTAGGGTTTTGGGCAAAGTTGGCTAATCGATAAAGTTAGTAACGCAAACGCCGTAGGGGAAGAAAGTGAAAAAAGGGGAAACGCTAAAGAGCAAAAAATGAAAGGAGAGAGGGGGAATCATGGAGCTAGAGGCTACCATGGTAATGTTAGGTTAACCACGTGCTCCAATTGTTTATAAAGATCTGGTTTCACTCGTCGTATATAGGCTGCCTCCAGGTAACGCAATGTCCGAGTTTTTCGTGCCCGAACAATTACTCGGAAGGAAGTTTTGGGGTCGACGGTGTGACCAGTATCAAGTAGGTGTTTCGTAATGTATGAATGCGGGATCTTATTTTCTTGTCTGAGGAGCCGCTTGGGCAGGTGCTCAATGGATCTGGCTGCCAATTGTCTTTGCGTTCGCCCAATGTACTTGCATCCGCAAGTGCATGTGAATTCATAAACACAATTTGACGTGGCGTGCATTGGCAGGGCATCCTTTGCCCGTGGAATCGGAAGTGGCTTAGTAGGACTGCAGAATACTAGTTCGGCTGCATTGTATGTCCTTTCAATGGCAGAACGTAGCTGTCGTTTGATAGTATTTAAAATATTGTCGCCCTTGAAGGGCAAAGATATAAAGACGGGCTTTTTCGGAGCTGAATGCTCTGTCAGTTTTGGCCGTGTAGAGTTGCTGTATTTGTGGATGAGCCGCATTGCGCAGCGACGCTTGCGGGAAGGACATGACACCTGGATGGCTCGCAAAGCCAAGCGGATCCAGGGGTATGCCGACCGCAACAAAACAAAGAACTTCTTTGCTGCGATCAGGCGATCTACGGATCCCCAACCAAAGGGACTACAACACCTCTCACCTCCGATGGAACGACTCATTTGAGGTAGAATTCGGGGATTCTTAAACGTCGGGCCGGGCACCTCAAACGCGTCGTCAGTCATCCCTCCACCATCTCCAATAACGCCATCGACCGAATCCCCCGAGTGGAAATAAACGTGGACTTGCATCTACCGTCCTCCCTGCTAGATACCATCGGCGACGTGCTAGAACTATCCGGGGGAAAGTACCAAACTCCGATACGATTCCGGCTGAGATCTAAAAACACAGCGTCCGCCGTCCACAGCGCTCTTTGAAGAGATGTAGCGCTATGGACAGGCCCTTCAGAACCTTAAGGACGCTGCAATAATTTGTCTATAAATGCGGAAAGGAGATCGGCAACTCCATGACAATCATAGAGAAAATACGCTGACCAACATCATCAGGAAGATCCTTGCCCGAATCCTCCTCAATCGCCTATACGGTCATCTAGAACGAGGACTTCTGACGGCAAGTCCAAGCAGATCCCTGCGGCACTGCACTGACACTGACATGATCTTCACCGCCTGCTAGCTATAATATTGGTGCAACTCCATTTGAGGTGCAACTCCATTTGGGTGCAACACATTTGAGGACCTGACGATAGCCTTTGACCCAGTGAATCGCGAAGGACTGTGAAAAATCAGGCAGAAGCTCGACTGCCCTGAGTTATTCACGCACATGGCGCGTCAACTTCATGACGGGCTGATGACGCGCGTCATAGACAACGGCGCACTCTCCGAGGCATGCCCAGTGAGCAATGGAGTGACGCAGGGGAGCGTACTAACGTCCACCCACTTCAATCTTGTGTTTATTGCCATGCTGATGGACACCTACCGTAATAACTATCCTGGGGCCAACAAGCACCGTCTCAACGGCCGGCGAATGCAGATCACACTGCGTTTATCCATAGCTACAGTCGAGGTTCTGCTATTCGCCGACAACTGCCAACTCGCCACAACGGCCAAAGAAGACATACAACAGGGCATGCATCTCTTCTCCAGGTGTTCTCACTTCAAAACAAATATCAATAAGGAAAAAAAACGGTGGTCATCACCAACGGACACTGAACCCTGCATAAAATAGCCATCGCGTCCATGGCAACGGCACCGTCATGAAGACCGTGGACAACTTTTCCTACTTAGACAGCACGGTCCGAAGATGCACAATCCCAAGACGTAGCCCATAGGATCACGAAAGCCAGCCAAGTTTTCAGCCGGCTGCAGACGCCCGTTTACAGTCGTCACAACCGTCACCTTAACACGAAACTGAAAATGTAGAAAGCTGCCATCTTGATGACTGTTTTGTATCGGGCGAAAAGCTGGAGATTTCACGTGAAACACACCCGGAAGCCTAACTACTTACATCTCATTTGCATCCGCCGAAAATTGAAACTGAGATGGCAAGACAGCATCGGGGCACAGAAGCTTGCGAACGCACAGGAATCCTCAATATCCACTTCACGTTAAGTCAGCTGCAATTATGTTGGAGCGGTCATCTCGTGAGAGTGGAAAATACACTTATACCGAGACCGCTCTTCTGCGGAGACGGTAATACGTGTACTCATCGGCAGGTAGGACAAGAACGACGCTACATGGGCACTTTGAACAACTCCCTGAAACGACTGCGTATCAACCTCGAGACCGGAAGACCTCGCCCAGAAGAAGAAGAAGAAGAAGAAGAAGAAGAAGAAGAAGTGACGACTGGCGCAGCCATCCACGAAGCAATGTAGATCGCTACCACTAAAACCAGAATGAAGGCTTGCAAGTCAAAAGTGCCCCGACTACTCAATGCCAACACCCAGACGCTTCCAACAATTCGAGGCTGCCAATGCGTATACTGTGCGCGAAGCGACCTTGGAGGACACCCGCGTAAGCAATGCACCAACAATCCGGCATGCTTACTTCTCTCACGGGCACCCCTAATATCACCCTAACCAGGAACCCCGCGTCTAAGATCAGGGCCAGGCAGTCACCGGTGATCAGACTGCCGATGACCCGCCGCCATCGGTTGCCTAAATCTGTTTCCCTCTTCCCCAACACCTGCATCGATCACAGCAACCAGCCCTGTCAACTCCGCTACTTCTCGCACCCCTCCCCCGGCCGATGTGATGAAATTTTGACATCTCGTCATATACTACGATCACCACCACCACCACCACCACCACCCCCGCCTTCGGCGATGCGTACTCGATCCCAACCTGTCCTCACTGCAAACGACACCTTCACCTCGCACATCTGCCTGGTTGTCATTTTCCTAATCCATCGCCCAGAGGTTGGCGAATCAGTGCTCATATAGACGCACCACATCCGTCCTCACCTTCAACACTCAGGCCGCACGTTCACGCCTCGCATGGGCCTGCTCGGTCACGCTCGCATCCACGAGTTCGGAATTCACCACAGAATCGGCAGACCTAGCACACGCACACATATCATGCCGAACCCATTCAATATTTCATCACCCATTGCACCCACCACTAGTTGCTCTACCACCGCCACCATCACTGAAACCGATACCAACATCGCAGACATATCTATTACACACTGCCTTTCCCCCTGCCCCACGTACACCACACTCATCGACCTGGTCGATCGCTTGCGGATCCATTACACATAGATTGGCGAGCCAGCGTGCGAAGCACCTACATACCCGGACGCTTTCGCTTCAACTGCCTGTATTGGCCTTCCACATTCAGCCAGCAAAGAAGCCTACTAGGTGGCATGCCTCTTCATGGCAACCTGCGGTAAACCACCGCTAGCAATATCACATAATCAGGCCTTTGCCCAAAAACATCTACGACACGAGATCACCCATCACCGCACAACGCAAGCCCGCTCATATTAGTGGGAACAGTGCTCCTCGACTCCTTTTCCCTGTGGCTTATCAGCTTATTGTGTGACACAAACCTCAAACTGTCACGGTGGGCCCAACGTCGTGGCTTGAAGGTTGCCGATTGATGCTTCACCTCAGTTCACGCAGTCTGCCCATTTGTGTGTGTTTGTGTGGTGCGGCGAACTGGTTGGCTGGGAGTCATTTTGTAACGGATACGTCTTAACATGATGTGACGTCTGCCGGCAGGGTTGTTGCTGCAGGCTCAGTCGCAGGCTCTCTCCGCGTCATTTTGCCTTTTGATCGGTCCACTCCTCATCTTCTTCCGTGGTGTATGTATAAAATGCTGATCAGGGAAGGATGTTGCCCAGGGACCGTCATGGGACGCCTAGGTTCAAGATCACTCACCATGCCATCCACGTTCGTCTTCTCTCACTTCCGGTTTTCCTTACTATGCTTGGACACCATGCATAGCTGTGGGGGAAGGGGAGAGTGCAGCAGATACTCTGCAATTCTATTGCCACATCAAACTAGTTCGCAGGCAAGTCAACGCGCCTGTTCTCATTTCGATGTGGAGCATAATGTGTGCACCGTCGATTGCGATAGTCAAAGTGTCACACGTAGGCATTGCTTTCAATAAATCAACCGTTCATATCAAATAGGGAGCAAACAAGTTCAAAGGGTTTCATGCCCAAACTCACCTTCATGGCCATGGTTGCGTTGATCAAATCTACTTTGAACTGTGCCTGCATATCTCCCCTTACACCGACAGTTAAGGTTTCAATCTTGGGCGGGAGTAAACCTATGTAGACTTTGCCCTCGGGAGGATTGAAAGACAGCTTTGGGAGGGCATCCCTGATGCGTTCAAACAAAAAGAAAGACACTTCGCCAGGGACATCTAAAAAGACATGCATTTTAGAATTTTTGAGGAATTTTATTGATTTTGTGAAGGAAACGCACTGACGTTGTGTAATATTCAAATCCTTATTTTGATAAGACGCATTTTTGACTGTCATGTTTATGTATGTGCATACACAGGCAAAGATAAGATGATAATGACGCAAAATTACCACTACTCTTGATTTATTTTGAACTCAAGCTCTTGCCTTCAGGGTTTCTAGCCTACAAACTACATACTTTCCATGCAGAGAAACCTGCACTTTTTATCGGCCGGAAAGAGGACGTTGCGTATGGCTTATAAAAAATCTCCTCGATATGAGCTCTGTTGTCAAGTTTATGAAACATGTTCTTTAGACAAGCCGATACATTATTACATTATTTGTTATTTTACAACCATAAAGAACTCATACTTTAAACATTTAAAACCTAAATTTGCTCTTTTTTCGAATATAAATTTAGGAAACACCTAATATGTCACAAATTTAATGCAAGAAATGGTTTGTCTGTAGATGTTTCTTATAAAATACTTCTGAATATACAAGAGCATCGAAAATCAACGTGAAATGTTAAGGCTAATTAAGTTACTAATTTTGCTAAGCGACTTTTCAAACAAACCTGTTTAATAGCCGACATCCTGATATGATTGCAGCATCCGATATTCACGATATCGGATATTCAACATAAAAATTCTACTTATGCAGCGCCTTCGGGTTAAAAATGCGTTTCATAACTTTAGTCGGCATTTTGTGAGACAATACACCTTTTGCAAATACACATACAGTGAGTGACCGATCTCATGAAATCTTGGCTAAAATTCTGAAATGCGTTGTCGATTAGGATGGATTACTTGGTCGCGGTTGTAATACTTATTAACTAAAGGCAAACTTTTATAACATTTCGCACTCGAAAGGATGTAGGCATTTAAATGCTCGTTTTTTAAATCTCCTGTAGAGAGGTTACTCAGTAAAAAAGGCTACTTAATTAGCATGCGTTTTTCGCATAGATTTTCGATGATCTTTGAAATTCAAATACATTTTATAGAAACCATAAACAAACATATACTTTCTTTTAGTAAATCAATAAAGAATCACGTCGTCTTTATATTTAATGCTTAAGAAAGGAGTATTTTAAGTTTCTAAAAAGTTTCTTATTATAAGACTTTTTAAGACCGTGAAATGTCCATTCACATAGCATCTTACCTGGCCGTTTACCACTGCTCCTCATGAAATGTACAACATGGTCCGCATCCACTGCAAAATTGTATGGTCTCTGTATGATATCTTTTTAATGGCATAGAAAAATATGTGATTTTCTTTACGCGGAATGCATGCGCCTTGTAGAGTGAAATCAATAAGCGCTAATGCAACGAACGATCAGGCTCCAAATTAATCGGCAATTCGAAAACCTATTTCATACCTAATTATATTCCTTTCTTAAGCGTAAAATGTAAAGAAAATGCGATTCTCTATTGCTTTTATAAAAGAAAGCATATTTTTGTTTATGGTTTCTATAAAATATATTTGAATTTTTAAGACCATCGAAAATCAATGCGAAAAATTCATGCTACCGAAGTAGCCCTTTTTACCGAGTATGCTCTCTACAGGAGAGTTAAAAACGTGCATTTAAAAGCCGACATCCTTTCGAGTGCGAAATGTTATAAAAGTTTGCCTTTAGATAATCGGTATTACAACCGCGACCAAGTAATCCATCCTAATCGACAACGCATTTCAGAATTTCAGCCAACATTTCATGAGATCGGACACTCACTGTATATACATATACACTATCATTGTATATATGCATGGCGATGGTACTATACCGTGCTCCCGACACAGGTGCTGGCAAAAATCTCAGACGCGAGTGCGTTCCTTAAAAGCCTCGATGGGCGCTCCTCTACAATTTCAGCTATGTATGTGGCAGAGGTTCTGTCATCTATCATGCTCAAAGAATGAAGTCGATTTGCCAAATCAGGCCAACAGTCTGTTAATAATACAGACTTTTGGACTTCTTTATAATTTGAAAGGCTTGTGAATATCTTAGGTCTTCGTAATACTTACTTTTGCGCAACGATTAATGTGTTTGGTCTATCAACTTGCATTTTGATCATTTTATCAAAATTTATGAAATAGTGGCTTAATATATGATAGAAATTGCGAAGTCACTGTTGTTATCCTCTTAAATGTTTGCTTAAAGGACCAATTATAACTAGTTTTAACTCTATACGCCCTCTTTAATGAATCACCTCACGATATGGTAAATTTCATGAGCACATTAGACTACATGTAACGCAAGGTTCATGAAACTAACCTTTATTTGGCGTGTTTTGTGGAGTAGTCAAAAGTTCCGAGTTAACGGCTATGATAATCGCAATTGTGATAGCAGTTACGGGGTTCATGTTAATAGCTGCCAGACACCACACGTGGCTTATATGTACCTTTGTGCCCTGAGCTTCTTTCACTATATCGCCTGAAGTTGTACTTTTGGGGAGGTGAAAAGACGTAGCCTGGTCATTAATATGTTGGGCACAGGGGTGAACATGTCTTCGTAACCTTTTGCCCTCACTGGTATAGACCGGCTGACCAACCTTTGCTGAGACGTTGAGCATACAGTAGGTTTGCTGACTCGTGAAATGTTAACTGAATTTCTGAAATGCCTTTTTGACTCGAAAAGTCTACTTAAGGAGGGTTGTCATATTAATCCCCGTGCAGCATAATCCAAGGTATTTAATTCACTTCGGCATGCCGATTCTTGAATGGACTTCCTTCCGTCCGCCTGAAAAACCGAAACTCTGTAAAACACGACTACCTTAATATTGGGATTTTTTCCACAAACTTATCATTCGCCTATAAATTCAAACATATTTCATGGAACCGGCATAAAAATATTCATTTTTCAACTGAAGTCTTCTCAAAATTTTATAATTAAAGGAGGGGTATAATTCGGTTCTGAAAATGTTTCTTACTATGAGATTTTTAGGGACCATGAAATATCTGTTCGTAAATCCTCGTGTCTCTATATGCACTAATAATTCTCAGAAAAGTTTCGACTTGGCTCAAATCCACTGTTAAATTTTATGAACCCCAGATAGGCACCATTTAGTAAAGTATTAACACGTGTGATTTCCCGTACACTGAAAATGCTCAGTTTGTAAATTGGAAATTCTGAATGCAAGAAAAACGAAAGATCTGGGTCAAGTTTATACGAGAATAAGAAAAGTTTTTAAAACCGAATTATACTCTTCCTGCAAGTATATCGTTTAAGGGAGACGGAATGTCCTTTGAAATGTATTTCAAAAATGAATATGCATATGCATGTTGTTCATGAAATATATTTGAATTTATAAGACAATTGAAGATCAATGAAAAAGATCATGCTATTTAAGTAGTCATCTTTTTAAAAAGTGCACGTTTTGCAGGCGAACGAACAGATGTTCTTTCAAAAGCCGTCATCCAAAAGTAAATTAAATACATTGAGATTATGGTGCATCCTGATGAATGTTAAAATCCTACTTAACTTATCTCTTCGAGTCATAAACGCCTTTCATATCTTCAGTTAATATTCCATGAGTT